TCACGCAGGCCACTGCGGTTGCCAAGACGAACAGGGCTCTCCGTACGAAGACTACTGCTACGGGTGAATTTCACTACAAAGAGGGAGATCTCGTGGACTATCATCGCCCGACCACCACGAAAGACGACTGGGGTGGATGGAGTGGTCCATACCCGGTCATCCGCAACGAACCTGACCGAGGCCAGGTCATCGTGAAGGTCGGCAGTCGCGAAGTGCGAGTACAGTATCCTGACACACGACACACACTGTACATCGAAGCACTTATGGTCCGCGAGATAGGATCGGACAATACGGCCCTTCGGACAGTATTGGCCTTTATTGCCGGTCTGCCAGCGGGGAAACCCGCCATGACTTTCGGATATCTACCAGCGAAACAGGGTCGGCTGCAGATGACTGCTGCGAGCCGACTTTCGCCTAAGGTGCACTTGGCTCTTCAGTACCTCATACGCAACTACTTTCGTATTGAAAACGTTGTTGCTGTACGACTTGCCAAGAGCCTGACGAAGTTGCCTGCTGCACCCTATGCAGACAGCTGTACACTAGTGCACTATGATAATGATGTGACCCCTGGTTTTCATTACTATGAAGCTGATGGCACTGCCTTGAACATCTATGACATCACAGGATCTACACACTCACGCATCATCCAGTGTCTTAAATCCAGGAAGCCGTCTGCTGGATTTGATCAAGACCTCACTAAGTTTGAGGAATTCGCTGATGGTCCACCACCAAGCGAATCACCTCCAGCAGCTGCTCCTGAGGAGCCTCCTACGGATAACGATGGTCGGCTCCCGACCATCATAGAGGAAACAGAAGAAGATCTGGATGCTTTTGTCTTGAAGTCGTGGTATGCTGAACTGATGGATGACAGAACACTCCTTGAAGCTGACACAGAGGAAGTCATGCATACAGTTCCCACATACATGACAGACACACAGTGTGTGTTAGTCTCTACGACCTGTGAAGATGTGCAAGGCCACTTGCCGGAGCGGGGTCACCCGCCAGGATACGACATGGACACTTCTTACTACGTTCCTTTATGCTCCACGGATCCGGATAGCAAATATGATCTGGACTCCGATGAGCATGGGAAGTACATCGAGCTCTGCTTCACTGCAGACATGTCCAAAGTCGTCCTGTCCGAGCAGCAACACCGATTGTTGGATGACAGCAGCGTCACAACTATGCGAGTATACGTTAGTGCTGCCTCCAAACGTGCCGTGGTCGTCAAGGAAGACGATCTACTCACGAAGGCCGACATCCAAGCAAATCCGGTCAAAGTTTCCAAAGCCCTCTACACAGAATTGAAGACTTGGCTTGACAACAAATGCTTCCAGATGACTGACTTAAGCAAGGCGTCTAACATCATGACGTCACGCTACGTATACAAATGGAAGTTTGTCAAGAACGAAAAGGGCGAAATGGAAAGGACGATCAGGTTACGCTTGGTACTCCGTGGCTTCATGGACCTTGAAGCCTTTGATGTCGAAACCTTCTCTGGCACGGCAAGGAGGTCAAGCCAGAGACTGCTCGCAAGTTCTGCTGCATGCAACAAAGCTTGGATCATCGCTTCCCTGGACATCAACATGGCTTTCTTGAAGGGACTGACCTATGGCGAGCTCGCCGCGGCAACGGGCGAGAAAGAGCGTGTGGTGTGCTTCACACTACCACCTGGGTCAGCAGCTGTCCTTCGCACACTGCCAGGCTTTGAGTCATATGACGAATCAAAGCATTGTCTCCGGTGTCTGAAACCGGGGACGGGCACGAAGGATGCTCCCAGGGCATTCTCGCTGAAGCTCAGGTCCATCACTAGGAGCTTTGGGCTACAGCCTACTTCATACGACGAAGAGTTCGAGATGAGCCCAAACCTCTTGACAGCCAAGCACGTTGATGACATCAATATGACTGGGAAGGAAGAGGCTATTGACAAGTATGTCAAGTGTGTTGAAGATACGTTTGGGAAGTGCAAACTGAACAAGCACACATACACAAACTGTGCCGTTCGGTACAACAAGACCGATGATGGGAGCGTCACTCTTGATCAGGACGAATACATCAAACAGCTTCGTCCTATCACACATCCAGAGCTCACAGGAGCTGATCCTGAGAGCAAAGCGACAAAGACGATTTCTGACATGTTCGTCAGTCTTCGTGGCGCTCTAGCCTATGCGTTGATCACGCAGGTATGGCTGATGGTCTATGTTGTCTCACTACAACGTATCCAGGAACCGACAAACATCCAGGTACGACGACTAAACGCGGTTACCAGAAAGCTACAGGCAGGTCCGAAGAAGATCGTGTATCAAGCTATGACCCCAACAGGAGAAGTCGACCTGCATAGCGATTCTGGCTATCGTCGTCTCAACGGAGATGAAGACGACGAAGTCAAAGGCTATGGTATCCGCGGGGCTAACCTGCTGAGGCGTGGCCACACGCAAGCGGGGAAACCCGTCGTGCACCTGGTGGACGCATACTGCAAGTCTCATCGACTGCAGGTGCGTTCGAGCTACTCTGCGGAAACACTGGCAGCAGCCCACAACTTGGAAGACTGCTACCCGACCATTGTAACGCTCCACGAGCTACACTCGGGACCATTGACCCCCACACAGTTAAAGAACATATTGGAAATGGGTGGTCTATGTATCAAAGTCACTCTGACTATTGATGCCGAGTCTGTCTTCAAGTCTTTGTCTAGCAAAGATCTGAAGAAGCCCACAGAATGTACTCTGCTTGGGCACATCAGCTGGATCCGCCAGATGATGGAACGCGGAATCGTGGAAAGCGTCCAATGGTGTGACACGCGGGATATGACTGCCGATGGTCATACCAAAGGTAGTATTGACCGCGCGTTACTCCTACAAGTAATGGCCGGCCAGCAATCCTTCAAGCACGAGCTGAAGAAACATACACCGTATAGGGCGGGCAGGTCGTCTGAGGACGGCCCTGCCTCCCGAGCCAGCGGGGAAACCCGCGGGCAGGTGCGCTTTAGTAGCGAGGAAACTCGCCGGTAGCGAGGCTACTCGCGCGCCCCTTCCTTGTAGGCAGCCGCTGCTGCTTAGCACTGTTTTTCCGCATAGTGTAGAAGTGCGGTACCTGCTCGTCTCCTCCCCCTCCGACTTTAAACGGAGAAGGTTAAAGGAGAGGTATAAATCGAGCATGTACCGCTGCCGTGCCTGGCTCAAGCCGGGCCCGGCCAGATATATGACTGTGCCTCACTGAGGCGCACGACTTGCATCAGAGATCGGAAAATACCTTTTCCATTGACGATGCCCATCCTATCCTTTACTCCAGATCCCATGTTTCGTCTCGCTCTCTTGCTCATGCGATATGAGCCAAAGCCTGGGATATGGCAACGCTTAAAGCGTAACACATACCTAAGCTTACCAGCTTGTTTTCGACTAGCTTTACTTAGCGCTGCCCCCTCAGAAGGCCAAAATGGGGCCAAAACCGTAGTAAAATCAATGATTTTGGCTTCAAAGAAGAGGGGAGCATTTTTCTGCCTCCCCCCGTCGGGGCCAGAATCCTCGTGAGGGGTGTCGTTTTTTAGCCCTCCCAGGAGTCGAAAAAGACCCCTCCAACCACCCGCGGGGCGCCCTCTCCAGGCCCAGGGGGAGGGGGTAGGGGGAGGGGTAAACCCCTCCCCGAAGGGGAAGAAGGGGGTTGAGAACAGAGCGGGCTCTCTAAACCACTCACGCCCAAAGGGCTGGTGGGATTGCGCTCCATTGCTTGCGCTTGCAACCGCACCGCATTGGTTTTGCACGATCGCCTGCATACCTGATGTTTGCAATGTTGCACGCGGTGTTCAGTATCTAATGGCCTTCGGCCCATCCCGAACTCGTGCCTGGGTCCTGGACCAGAGGCCGCGTAGAGGCTTCTTGGTGTCTCATTGGAGGCCTCTTCAGGACCTCGTTGCGGCCTCCCGTGGATCACTTGGGGACCTCTTGCGGGCCACTTGCGGCAACCGGAGGCTTCTTGGGTGCCTCGCGGGAGTTTGGGGAGGTGGGCTCGGAGGCCATCTTGGGGTGGTGGGCCTCAAATGCCAGTCTAAGTTCCCCCTCTTGGAGTTGTATTGAGGGCCTCTTGGGCTCCTAGTGGGGGCTGGAGGGCCGTCGTGGGGCGATCTTGGGTGCCGTCTGGGCCGGCGTTCAGATTGGAAAGTTGAGCATGCTGACATCAAACAGTTGGCATGTTGTCATGATATGGCCCGTTTGGGCCAGCCCACTGGGCATCCAGGACGGCCCCAGAGGCTCCCAACAGAACCCCAAAACGGCCCAGGCCATCTTCGACACGTTGGAAAGTAGACTCCCAGCAATGCTCCCGACGCCTCCCAGCAGGTCGCGCCACGCAGCCAGCAGCGCCTGTAAGTGCCCACTTGACGAGCACTCGGGCAGCCCAGGAGCTCCCGGAATCGCCCATTTAACGAACACGTGCAACACCCGGAAAGTCACGCCACGCATGCCAGGAGCGCCATTGAGGGCCCACCCCTGCTGGAATCCTGGGTTTGGGTTGCTTCACGAACAATTGCAACACTCAATGCGTCCAGAGATTTCGGAGGGACCTGCGGACACTCCATTTCGTGCTTCAGTGCACGGGTGCAGTCAGGGCAAACAATTATCTTCAAGAGCATTATCGTTGTGTGGGCCCTTTCAATGAGACGACCTTCGATACTGGAGGATCGCGCTGAGTGAGAAAGCTTCGTCTCCCCCTTCTCCATTCGCCTCCGCCTCCTACCCCTTCTCTCTTAGGGCACCCCTCTTTCTTCGTCTGTCCTCTTCCCCCTCTTCTTGCCCCCCCTGCCTTCCTGACCCGGCATCCCTCCTTTCTTGCTTGTCTCTTCCCTCCTTTTTCTTGTCCGCTACCCCCCCTAGTCTCACCCCTCCTGCCCCTCCTGCGTCCGCTTTCTTCTCCGTAGTCGCATCGTCATCCTCATCGTCCTGTTATGTTCCAGTATATATCGTTCTTGCGTGTCTTGCCCCTGCTACTTTTTTGTGGTGACTCAGGTTTTGGTCGGTCGACCTTATCTGTGCATTCTTCACTGGCTACCACGACCGTGACGGGAAGCTTCAGATGTCCGTCGTTAAAGTGGGCAAGCATTATTTGCGGAGCTTCTGGGAGGGGAGGAGGTGGGCGAGACGGAGGGTGAGGAGGACAGTTGCAGGAAAGAGGGATGAGATGAGAAGTGACAAGCTAGGTGTGCTTGCGTTACATCTGACTCTGACATACTACCCCTCCCATCCATGCCTTCCCACAGCGATGAGACATTCTCGATCCGCGGATTGCGACGTCCTAGAGGACCGTGAGCCCCGAATAGCAATTGCAGGATGTGACCCCCTGTTTGCTCTGCAATCGGGAAGGAGAACGGTTGGGCATGGGGGGGAGGAGGCGGATGGTGGTGGAGGAGGAGCAAGAGGAGCAGGATCATGATGACCAGGAGGGGAACGGAGGGGGACGGCAACGACGAGGAAGAGCATGGATCCAGACATGTGGCCCGCGTTGGGGTTGGGAGCGTTGTTTTGAACACGGGGGGCAAAACGCCGATCCTGAAATGTGGGCAGCTCGGCAACGCGATCACCAAGTTTGAAGGGCAGACGACGTTCCGATCGACCAGCACATACGACATACCAATTGCTGCAGTACTGCGCGTGGAAATACAAACCGCGAGTGAGGCGGCGGCCTCGCTGGGAGTTCTCAGGGGAGAGCGGATTGACGCACTCATATTGAGTTGAATACATGTAGGGAAATGGGGAGGCAGGGTGTCACCTTGCATTGCCCCTGGAAGGAACGATCGCCCTGGGCCCACCACCGCAGTCGAGAGCCGGACAGCGTCGTCTTGCCGACTTTGACCCCAAAAAAAGCTCGCCCTCCTCATGCATCCTCTCTTCACTCCTCGGCGTCTACACCCTAAGTCTCATACCAGACCCATCCTCTAGGACGGGGGGAGGGGGCGATGGGGGGGAATGCTAGATTTCGTCGGCAGGTCATGTTCTCTTCGATGCGTGTGGTTGTGTGGATATCTTTGCCAAAGCAATGTGCTTAAGACAGAGCTGGCACATGAAGAGAAACCCGTTTCGTTGAACCACGTCTTTGAATCAGCTCAAGCAGTTTCAAGGTTCGCCGCCGCTGAACCAACACAACGGAACATTGAGTGACAAGAATCCTTGTTCGTTGGCGTCGTCCCAACTGATCGCGCAATCGCATACGCTAATACATGCTAGTCCAGCGTGCTCCTGCCACTTGGGCCTTCGGTGGAGCTCTCTATGGGGCCGGTACGCCATGTGGACTGCCCCACTGGGTCCGAAGGTGGAGCTCCCCACCGGTCCACGAAGCATGTGAGGGGTGTTCCGAATTGGGGGCGGGGGTGCGCCGAGCGAACTGTGCAACTGGGGTCGTAGGTGGAGTTCTTTCTGGGTTCACGAAGCGTGCGATGAGTGCTCCGAATGTGGGGCGGGTGCGCCAGCGAACTATACTGCTAGCGCCGTAGGTGGAGCTTCCTGCGGGGCCACGGGGCGAGCGCGGGGTGTCACAAATTGAGGCCGGGTGTGCCATGCAAGTTGCGTTACTGGGGCCGTATGTGGGCTCGTCTTACGGGGTCACGAAACGGGTAAATCTTCACCCAAATGTGAGCAACGCCATGCGCGCTGCGCCACTTGGGCCCTTGGTGGAGCTCTCTATGGGGTCACGAAGTGTGTGAGTGGCGTGCCCGATTGGGGGCGGGTGGGTCAGGTGCCCCTGCCCATTGAGGCCCTAGGTGGGGACCCAACGCCCATGAGGGGCGTGCTGATGTATAATGCGGGTACGCCATGCGTCCGCGCCCTCTGCTACTTCAGGTCGGGTTTCCTACGGGGCTCCCTACGATCGCGTGCCAATTCGAGGGCCGATGTCCCACTTTGGCATTCTCTCGAATATTGCAGAGCCCAGTCGCGCACCGTGGTGCAATCTTCAAGCATAGAATTCGTCGCCCCAGGTATCCCAAGGAGTAGGTTACGGCTGCTATTTTAGCATTGCCGGTTGCACATAAAGACACGAAGAGCGTGAGTGGTATGCCGAGTTGGAGGCGGGTACGCCATGCGCTCGCGTCCATTGGGGTCCCGGACCGAGATTGAAGCGCATTTACGCAGGACGAAAGAAGTTCTTCTCGAGGTGGAAATAGCGATGGTGAGTTTGCGAGATTACATCGGCGCCGCCGAAAGGACGGCATCTGGACGAGCTGCGTGCAGCAAGAGAGGCCCGCGCGCGCGGATAGTGGATGGGAGTGCGCGAGACAGCGCAGGACCCATCTTGGGAAGTTGATGACCGCCCCCCCCCCTCGTAGAATCTTAGCACGGGCGGGTTCCGGGGCCCGCGGATCCGAGTTGCTCTGGTTCCCAGTTTGAATTTGACAATCTAATTTTTCAACAGGGTAAACATCTGATCTGCCGCAACAGATAGGGGCGGACGCGGATCCAGGATCCAGACAATCCGAAATCGGATCCGCGCGGACGGAAGTCGGATCCACCGAGACAGAAACCAACAACAAAATTGGATCCGCGCGAACTTCATTGGATTCGACGGCGGTCATCCCAGATGCGTCTGTTCAAAACTTAAACCGTCGTTCCGGGCCCAAGATGGAGCAAGTTTCGTCGTGGGGATGTATGAGAGGAGTTGAATTCGAGGCGGTACGCCATTCACCTGCGCCCGCATGCTGAATTTGAGAAATCTGCATGGAACTTCAAGAGTTGAAGGGGGAAGGGAGAGGGAGAGTGTGGGGCAAAGGGAAACCGAGAGGCGAGGGGGTCCTCAAGGACCCTGGCTTTGAGTCGTCACTGCCGCTGGCCTTCTTGCACGACATAAGTCGGACTTGTTTTAGGACACGCTTCATGATGGGGGGCGCAGGTGCCGACGCTCAGAGGCATGAAGACAGGGAGGCCCCTCCTCCCCATCCTCCCGCGTACTCTCCTCCTTATCGTTGCCCTCCGTACCCCTTCCGCTTCAAGGCAACGCCCAAAGAGTTTTCTGTCGCCAATGACGACTGGTCAGTGCGACTTCCCAGCGAGTAGGGCATCCGTTGTGTTCAGTGTTGTGGCTTACGGTACTTGTTCGAGTTTAGCAATCGTGACGAATAAGGTGGCCATCCATCGTGTTCCATTGCCAGGTTCAATTTTCTGTTTGCAGTTGGCTGCGACAGTGAGTTTTATTGTCCAGTTGCGTTGTCGCGCATGATTCCGCCGCCGCTCACATGGAAAAGTTACGCGGGGACGCTGTGCGTTTCGCGTAGCACAGCTGTACCACTACATGAATACTGCGCTGCCTCACGGTGGCCTGTCGGGGCCATTTTTGTGGGGCCGTCGTTGGCACCAGAGGAAGATTTCCCTGAACACGCTCGCACGCTCCTTCCAACAAACGTCCACTGCAGTTGATGCATTCTGCTCTGCTGTGCTTTTGCCGACCTGTCAAGCCGCCCTGCGAGGATACGGGGCCGATGTGTGTGTGTGTGTGTGTGTGTGTCAGAGTGAGGGGTGTCCGAACAGTCTTACACTCTACACCTGCGTGCGCGCCGCCCGCTCGGAGCCTCGGCCCAGGTACGGGTACGCTGTGCGGGCACTCTCTGCGAGCCTGCTGTGCGGGCACGCCGTGCGGGCACGCCGTGCGGGCGCGCCGTGCGGGCGCGCCGTGACGGGCGCGCTGCGCGGGCGCACTGTGCGGGCGCGCTGCGCGGGCGCATTGTGCAGGCGCGCTGTGCAGGCGCACTGTGCGTGCGCACTGACATGGGGCACACCCTTCACTCTTATCCGCAATTGCGGGCTACGGCGAATCACAGCCGCCCCCTTCTTTTTGGGAGCGCCTACGTGGCCGACCGTTCCAGCCGGAGCTCGGCCAGAGCTCGGCAAAGTTGCCGGCAAGCCACTCAAGGGAAATTTTTGGGTCGTCTTGGAGGTATCTTGGGCCGTCTTGAGCCACATTGAGGCCCTCTTGAGCAATCTGTGGCGCATCTCCGCTCGTCTTGAAGACATCTTGGGGCCATCTTGGGCCCTTTTGGAGCCATCGTAGCCGTCTTAGGGGGCCGTCCTCGCCGTCTTGGAGGCCATCTTGGGGCCGTCTGGAGCGGGAAGACCGGCGACCTGGGAAGCTTACGGGTCCTGAGTCGGTGCCGGCGCATTGAGCCGAAGCTCCCCTAGAGATTGCGAAGAGGACCAAACACTACCTAAGTTTGGCACGGCGTGCGCCTCTGCAGTGGAGGCCCAAACCGCCACTGTGCCTGGGGTGGTGGGCCCGTGTCCTGAGGGATACCTCTTGGGGTTTTCGGAAGACCTTGCAGAAGCCTTCGGGCAGCAGCTTGAGGCCTCTTGGGGCCTCTTTTGGGTGTCTTGAGGCTTCTAGTGGCCTTCTTGGGGAACTGCTGGTGGTCACAGGGGCCCTCTTGGGGAGTCGGGCCCGAAAAGTCAGTCCGTGCTTCCCCTCTTGGGGCCTGGGGCACTATTTGACCATTTTGGGCTGTCTTGGGCCCGCGTGGGGGCCTCTTGGGCCATCCTGGAGCGATACCAGGAGCCTCTTGGGAAGTCTTGGAGCTCTGGAAGACCGGAAATGCGAGAACACGAAAATCCTTCAAAATCTCAAGGTCAATCAGTGATTTCGGCTTTTCGGGGCCCTCTTGGACGTGCCCGGGCACCTCTCTTGGAGTGTCTTGGAGCGCTCTTGGGCCGTCTCACGGCAGTATTGGACCGTCTTGGAGCGCTCTCGGGCCTCTCGGTTTAGAACAAGTCACGCGACAAGACGCGGCAAGCCCCAAGAGGCGCGCTCCACGCATTGGGAGATTTGAGGATGTGGGGTCCGAGCCCATTGAAGAACCCCATGTCAGAGGACTGATGACTCCAGGGGACCTGAGGACACTCAAGCTTCCCAGCTGCTTCACTATGAGAATGAACGTTTCCCAGCTGCTTCATTGAGGACGGTGACGGATAAGAATGAACGCTTCCCAGCTGCTTCACTATAAGTTCGTTTACGTTTGTGGGTGATACACTCGAGTACCCCAGTTGCTTGCTTAGAATGGCGTATGCTGGCACGCCTGCATGTTGGCATGCTTGCGCGCTGGCACGTTGGCTTGCGTGAACACTTGCGCGAATACGCGTTCGAGCGCAACCTTGGGAGTTCTCGGGGCCATAGCGGAAGGTCTTGGCGCTGTGGAGGAGGAGTTTTGGAGCCATTTCGGTGGCGTTGGGGCCATTTTGGGGCCGTCTTGGGGCGGCCCTGAGATGTCTCGGGGCATTTTCGGCGATTTGTTGGCGGCCGTCCTGGGCGATATGAAGTCGTGTTAAACTGGGGCTGCCTGCTGGCCCTCCAGGTGGTCGCATGGATGCCCGGGGGTCTGTCTGGGGAGGACCGAGGGCCGTCAGGATACTTTGATCGGCGGCAAAGGTCAGGCATTTTTCAAAGACCTGGGATGCAATGACGTTTTCGTATCAAAGATGCCTACGGCGAATCACAGCCGCCCCTGGCTTTTTAGGATACGCCTATGTGGCCCAACGTGTGGGCAAAGTTTGGCCACCCCTTCGGGGAACACGTGGGGGAGGAAGAGGAGGATGAGTAGGGAGGAACAAGGAGGATGAGGAGAAAGATGAGGAGACCTCTTGGGAGTTTCGCGGGCCATTATTGAGGCCTCATGCGAGTTTCCTTGGGCCTCTTGGAGTCGGCCTCTTGTGGGCCTTCGGGGGCTTCTTGAAGGCCGCTTTGGCAGTCTTACGATGTTCCTGGCCGGTCTGGCGCCGTCAGAAGCCGTCTTGGGAGCTTCTTTGGGCCGTCTTGGGGCTCTTCTTGGGGCGCTTCAGGATCGTCTTGAAGGTCACCTCGGGCGCCTTGGAGGCCTCTTGTGCAGTCTAGGGGGCCCTTCGGGGGACCGTCTTGGGAGCCTAACGCAGCCTTGCGGCCGTCTTGGAGGCCTCTTGGGCGATCCTGGGCCAATGATGGCCTGTTGGGCCGCCTTGGGCCGCTGCTTTGAAGCAAATGCCAAACTCCTTGAACCACGTTTGGAAAATGCTGGGTTTTCCCGAGCCTCCTGTGATGGGTTCTCGTTTTGGATAGAGCATTGCGCTCGCGTCTCCTCCTCACCCCCCCTCCTCCTGCGCTGCTCCCTGGGTGGCTGCGAACTGCGCAACTGTCGCCACTTTCGTGGGCTTCTGGGGGGCACGGCGGAGTAGCAGAGCACGTTGATCCAGTCAAGACCTCGCAGTTCCTTAGGCGACTGCGAGCTGCGCAAGTGCCGCCATTTTCGTTGGCTCTTTGGGGGCACGGCGGAGTAGCGGCGTACGCGGTTCCAGCCGAGACTTCGCACATATCGCCCCTAGACATTCCAAGAGGCTTGCAAGGGGGTCCCAGGACGGACCAAGAACACCCCAAAACGGTCCAAGAGGCGCTCAAGACGGCCAAAGAGGGCCCCAAGAGGGGTCCAAGAGGGGAAACTCCAACTGACATTTCGAGCTCTCCGCCACGAGTGGGCCCCCAAGGTCTCAGCAGCGACCCAAGCGGCCCCCAAGGGCCCCAAACGAGGTTCCAAGAGGCCCCCACAGAGCCCACATAAGGTTACCAAAAGCTTCAGAACTTGCTCCACGAGGCACCCGAGAAGCATGCCAAGATACCCCGAGTTGAAGGTATCCAAGACTCCTCTGGGCCAGAATTCAGGCACTGTACTTGTAGCGGTAGGGGCCGAATGACATAAAGCAAGAAATTGGTTTGGCGACGGACCCATCCCCATGCAGTCATGTGTAGTGCAGGGCGCGGGTCTTTCTTCCAACACTGCGCGCCTCGGAGCAATGCGGAAAGATTGTCGCTGCGGATCACGCGTGCACGGGTGCGCTGAATTCCTTGTGGGGCACGATCCGCATGAAGGGCCGCGCGAACACGCCCATTGAGGCCGCAGGTGGACCTACTCCAGGCATGACCCGCGCGAGGCATGTTCCGAAATGGGCGGCCGGACGCCATGCGAAGCTGCCCATGGGTGCCACAGGTAGAATTTCTGTTGGGGCATGATTCGCGTGACTGGTGTGCCGACCTGGGCGGGGCGGCGCTGTACGAATCTAGTCTCTGGGCCTCTGGGTGAGATCCCTTGTGGGCACGATCCACGTGATGCGGTGTGCCGCAATCACTGGCCGGGAGGGGGAGAGAGCGCAGTGCGAATCTTGCCTCTGGGGCCGTTGGTGGAGATCCCTGCGGGCTATGATCCGTGTGAGCGGTATGCCGAAGTATTAGTGATCAGAACCCTCTCATCGGGTTCGTCGGCGCCTCGCCCTGACCCCATGCATCTGCGGCTGTTTCGGATCTAGGCTGCAGCCAGTGTTCTGCTCGCCGACAGACGGCGCAGTTCTTCCCGCCAGGAGGTGGCGGACCTCAGACATCAACGTACCTCTCCCCCAGTCCTCTGGAAAAGGTTCCACGCGAAGAGCACGGACAAGCAGAGCATCAGGCAGGCAGAGAGGGAGGTGCAAGACGAGGGCATACGTTGACTTTGGTAGCGGAGCTTCGGCTCCAGTCCACGAACACCCACAACACGAAGATCTTCACTGACGGCATCAACACGAACATCCACCATATAAAGATCTTCACCGACTACCTTGCCAACGGCATCAACACGAACATCCACCACACGAAGATCTTCAATAACGGCATCCGTACGAACATCCACTATATAGAGATCACCATCGACTGCGACGATGGCGAACCAGGCACCTGGAGCCGTGGAGGCTCTGGGCACTCATCGCAATCCCCCGGCGTGGCAGCCGGGTACAGATTATACCTTCAGGGATTGGGAGCGCGACATCACGAACTGGATAAGGTTGACAGACCTGCAGGCCGACCAGATCGGCGGAGCTATCTACCAGCGTGTCTCCGGCCTCGCCAAGACCTTGCTGCGTGAGATCCCCGACGCTGTGATTAGTTACGGCGCTGATGGGCGCCCAGGTGTGGAGATCCTCATGTCAGCCCTTCGAGCACGCTGGGGCGGCGAGAGTCAGGACAAGCAGTTGCAGCTCTTAGCCGCCGTTGATGAGTTTGATGTTGGCCCTCGCGAGGAGTATGAATATGCCATCGCACGTTTCGATATCATCCGTATTCGAGCTCGCGATGAAGCTGGCCACCAAGTTGCTCCTGCATCCCTGGCTCGGAAGCTCCTCCTAGCCTTTAACGTCCCGGAGGATACGTGGTCCAAT